GAAATATAATGGGAATCACATATGAAGTTTAAAATTTCCTGGTAGAGACTTTAGGCTTAAAAAAAAGTGAAATTAATATTAATAAGATACTTTATTTAACCAAATATACCCAAAAGAGTATGATTTCATCATGTGGCACTAACCACATTTCAAGCACTCAGTAGCCACGTGTGGCCAGTGGCCATAGTCATGTTTACACAGGATCAAGCCTGAGAGCCTGCATTTCAGACAAGCTCCCAGGTGACAAGAATGCGGCCAGTCCAGGGACTTCACTTTGTAGCAAGGGCCCAGAGAATGCTATCTTCTACCTGGGCTGGTGAGACAGCTGTGGAGCTTCTACACAATTTTCTGCAGGACATTTGGCAAACTGAATATGTATCCTAAGATAAGAATGCTTGAAGTCACATCTTAGGGAACATCCAACTCGATACCATCCTTGTGCGTGATTATCAAGTAATCTTTCTCAAACACTCTTACCAGCTATTTTACACAAAGCCCAGTACATGGGGGCCCTGTCTCTTCCATATCACACAAAGGAAATGACATGCAGGGATAAGGAATGACAGGACACGTGTGTGCTGACGCCATCCCGTGGCCTTTACACGGGCCTCTCCAAGAAGTTCACAGTTCCATGAGCGAGGCTTAGGAATTCCCATTTTACGGGGGAGGAACCAATCTCCAAGCTTAAGAAGCTGCAGCTAGAAATGGGCGACCCTGTGTCTAAGGCCCAAGTCCATTCATTTCCAAAAGGCTCATAACCCAAGGAGTGTAGCATATAAGATGTCACCAGGCATGAGTCACAGACATTTCTATTCCAATATCTTTAATAGAACATCTCTAGCTTATCAAACTCGTGATATGGCACAGACAAAATTGCTTACATTAAGCTGAGGATTATTTTAAGAGTCTGTTTAAATTTTATTTATTTATTTTTTAAGCCAAGAACTTCCAGTTTTTATTTTTATAAAATGACTTAACAAGAAAAATGTTCACCCAAAATTTTAAAAATTAGGTTGGATTAATTTACAATGTATGAATCAACTTAAAATATCAGCCCATTTATTTAGAGCCAAGGATGCTATTTAAACAGCAGAATTGCACCATTGATACTTTTACCTATATTTGACAGCACAGATATGCAAAAGTCATGCAACTTCCACTGACATCCTTTCTTCCCTCCAAAGTTGCATTCACATAATTTTATCTTAGGTCAGTTACAAGTTCTGTTTAAGAAATCGTTAAGTGGGCTGGGCATGGTTGGTGGCCCGTGCCTGTAATCCCAGCACTTTGGGAGGCCCGGTGGAGGGACTGGGTGGGGGGAATCGCTTTGAGCCTAGGAGGTCAAGGCTGCAGTGAGCTGTGATTGCCCCACTGCACTCCAGCCTGGGCACCAGCGTGAGACCCTGTCTACAAAAGGGAAGGGGAAGGGGTAGGGGCAGGGGAAGGGAGAGGAAGAAAGGAAGGAGAAGAAGAAAAGGGAGAAAGAGAGGGAAAGAAGAAGGGAGGGAAGGAGGGAGGGAGGGAAGGAGGGAGGGAGGGAAGGAAGGAAGAAAGGAAGGAAGGAAGGAAGGAAGGAAGGAAGGAAGGAAGGAAGGAAGGAAGGAAGGAAGGAAGGAAGGAAGGAAGGAAGTTAGTTAAGCAATATAACCCTGTGGCAACATTTGTAAAAGTGACTCTGAGAAGACAGAAAGATCCTCTGAGATTGTGGATGTCCCCAGCAGTTGGCGAGGCCTGCTGAAGATCATTTGGGTAAATGTCATGGTCACGCAGCCCCATTCTCTTCGCTGAGCTCCAGATTTCCATAGCCAATTGTGGGCTGGACATTCCTCCCTGAGACATCTCACAGGTAACCCGTTCCAAAGTCAATTTTAGGGCCCCCCTCCCCACTGCGCCCGTCCTCCTCCTGCCCTCCTGGCCCCTTCAGTGGTCCCCACCCAGCCAGTTTCTGACACCAGGCTCTGTCCTGGGCCTCGTCCTGCCTTCCCATCCCCACCCAAACGCGTCCTCTCCGCCTGGCCTGCACAGGCCCGGCCCACACCGCCCTGCCTGGGCTCCTGCTCCATTGCTGCCCCGGCCCACGTCCCTCACGGCTGGATCCTGAGTCTGTCACCCGTTGGCGGCGCCCAGAATGGGCCAAGCACCCTCCCCGCCGTCCCCAGGGTGCTGGCCTCGCTTCGCTGTCCCTCCCGCGAGGCCTACCCCCACCCCCACCCCGCTGCGCCCCTTGGTTCTCCTTGGCCCCTGGCCCCCACTTTACATCCTGATTTGTAATCCCCCAGTGACTAACATAGCCCCCACCTCCTGGCCTGTTCACAGGGGTCCCCAGGGGTGCACGGACTGTGCGGGGTTCCCTCGGCCAACCCAGAGCCCAAAGCGCGGGGAGCACGTGGCAAACAGTGGGGGAAACAATGGAGCCGGATCCAAAGCGGTTGCAGCAGAGAGGGAGGCATCCAATCCCGTCCATCAGCCCCCAAAGGCCGTCGTCCTGCCTGGAGAACCGAGCAGCGCTAGGCAAGGTTCTCTAGTAAAGAAAAATATCTGACCGGCTCCAGCTCCAGCTCAAGCTGCTGGTCGGGGCGAGAGGCATGGGGACCTGTCCAGGGCAGGAGCCCCCGCACTACGGCACTGGGTGGGGGGTGCGGGGCAGGGCAGAGCGTGCAGGCCCTGGAACCCCACTCAGAAAAGGCCTGAGCCGAGGCGCCTCGGCTCTGCCCAGCTCAGCCCCCGCCCTCCAATACACAGCCTCCTGTGGGCTTCCATCCTTCCTCCCCTTCCCCCACACCCACCCAAAACTCCCCCAGGGCTCTGCTGAGGCTTCCCTGCTGTCCCGGCAGGGGCTGTCGGTTCCGCAGGAGCACGCTGTGAGATGAGCACCGAGGGACTGACGGATGGGGCCTCCAGGGGATACTGGGGAGGGCGGGTCAGAGCGGGGCCCAGAGGGGAGCGGCAGACGGGACACAATTTCGGGCCAGTTCCTGGGCGAGGCGCGTGGAGCCCGACCCCTAGGGGAACTCGGATTCTAATGACACCCTCACGTCTACCCGTCTATCCGGGCTTCCTACTCCCACTCTGGTCCTTTGGGCCCAAGGCATGAGGTGGGGAGGACGAGGGTGAGGATCAAAACCCCTGGGTCCTTCCTGCCTCTGCGCCTGCCAGCAAAACAGCTCCGTGAGTCCAAGGGCAGCTCAACGGCAGGCCACGGGAGCCACAGGTCCTGGCCATGCAGCAAAAGCATACAGAAGCCAGGGCAGTGCAGACACAGCAACAGGACAGAGGGGCCTGGCTGGAGAGCCAACGTCAGGGGTCTCTCACGGCCCACAACACCGTGTCCTGCGTGTACTGGGGTCTCAGTTAAATAACGAAGGGGGGATGTGATGACGTTCATGTGGGCTTCTCCCTGCCTTTGGTGGTGCCCTGGCCCTCCTGTGCCCTCCTCCTGGCCCTCCTCAGATCCTAGGAGCTGTCACACACTCAACACCCCCAGGCAGCACCAGCACCAAAAGCCCTCACTCCATAGCCCTCTGGCACCTCGCTCAGAGTGAGCTCAGCTTCTTTTCTTCAAACATGTCTTCATCGCAGGGAGGGAGTCGAAAACTCTCCTCCTGGCCACCCACGGAAATGCAGCTGTCACCAGGTGGAAAAGGAGGAGAAGATGCAGTGGGCGCGGGTGGGCCTGGGTGGCCCCTGGCCGGGCTCTTACCCTCAGTTGGGGGACAGAGGCTGGTTGGAAGAGCACCTCCTTCCCGAGGCTTGAGGACAGGGCCGTCCCTGACACCTGCGCCTGGGCTGGTCTTCTGCACCCTTAGCCTCAGGTAGCCTCGGACCGCTGTGCTGTGGAGGGTTAGCCGTAGAGTTTTTCTGCACTTTGGGTCTCCTTCACCATCTGCAGCTGGACTAGGGGTCTTGGGTTGCCGGGAAGCCTTCTGTGAAGTAGGCTGAAGAGAGCCCTTCCTTACTCGGAGGGCACAGCCGAGCCCGGCCGCATTTATAAGTGAAAAGGGCGACTCCACCGTGATGGGATCCTTCTGCCATTCCCCTAAGACCCCAGGATTGATGACAGGCATTCAGAACTGCAAGGGGCATGAGGGGGCTGCTGTGTCCTTGTCCGGGCGGCTTCCCAGCCTCAAACTGCTGCCTGAGAACAGGTGGCAGAACATTCCTGAGTATTTAACCCTTGGCTCCCAAGAGTGCAGGAACGACAGTTCTGTGCCTGAGGAAAAGATCCGCGTCGCTCGCACCTCACTTAGGACAACCTGTGCTTTACAGAAATTTGCTAATGTGAAAGAATGATTTGTGGTTTCTTTGCTCAAATACAGGAAACTGACTTTTCTCAAAAATGAACTCTCCCTACCAATCTGCACCATGAAATTATTTCAGCAAACAAGAAAGTAATGGTTGCCCATCACCCCACACTGCCTGTGACTCCGCCATCACTCACACGCAAAGAAGGGTGTTCTCTCCTCTGCCTCTCAGCTACTAATTCTCTGTAAATGACCATTTGACATCCTGGTTGGGGAGGATTCGGATCAGAGATGACTTCACCACTGCCACAAAGTATGGTTCTAGGAAGGACAGCCAGCCCCAAGGCCGCGAAGGTTCTGAAAAAGTTTCTTCTCATTTGAAGTCCAGTATTTCCTCGGCCCCATTTTTCTGTTAAACAATCCTTTTTCCTTGGAGATTGCTAAAGCTTAGCTCCAGGGCCAGCCTGAGCTCCAGCAGAACTGGGAGTGTATCCTGGGTCTACATAGCTCCCTTCCCTCCTGCCTTCCTACCGTCGAAGGAGAAACAGCGTGTAATTTGACTTCTTCCCCTTCTCCTCACTTGTCATACTGTGTTCTCTGCCTGGGCTTGTGTCTCCCCTTGCAGAGGCTGTGGACAGGAGCACCGAGAGCCACTTCCTGGAGCACATTCCCCGCCCCCGCAGCCTGTGGCTTTGGCCTCTGCTTCTGCAGGCAGCGGTGGAGGAAGTCAGGACTGTCCCTTCTGACCTGAACACCTACCTCCAAGTCCCCCCTGTCACCACAGAGACCCAACAATGCAAGTGAGTCCTGTTTGACCTCATCAATCATCGCAAACTGTAAAGGTGACTCAGATGCTCAAGAAACGAGCATGCACAGCAGTGGGCCCCAGACTTCCCGCAGGCCCAGGTCTTCGTGGGTGCACGGAGACCTACCAGACAAAGGTCCAGCTGCACTGGTGTTGTGAGATGCCTGTGTCAGAAGACGCGGAGTCCCTCACTCACCTCCCATCATGCCGATGATCACAGGAGAAAGAGCAGGGCACATGCGTGCCGGCGTGCTGAAGGGAGGCCAAAACCCATGCTTGAAAAACCACAGGTCCTGTTCTAGGAGCAGGAGATATATTTAGCCAAGCAGGATGTTTGTGGGTAAACCAACATTTTGCTGTAAATAAAATTCTGCAAACTCGGGACTTTGAGAATTGCAGAAGCTTATTTTGCCTGCGTGTTGGCAAGAGAGCTATTTTCCTAACACAAGCTCACCATGACCCTCATTCAGAGATGCCCTTGACGCCGAGGGTGTGGGTGCCTTTTTGTTAAAGGGTGCCGTCAGGGGATTGAGTAGGAGCCTGAAGAGCTAGGAGTATCTTCTCCCTGCACGGACCAGCAGGCAGACCCTGTCCCTTCACACTACAGTGGTGTGCGATGGGCCCCACTGCCCACCCGGTTCTGGTGTCCAGGCTGAAGTCCTCATGTGACACTCCAAACTGTTCTGGCAAGGAAGGCTCACGGGTTCTGACCCACACTCTGAAACTGCCCGGTAGTGATCAGCTCCGCATGGACTTCAGCCATCATTGCGTACATCAGAAATACATGCTGCACACAGAGTGCTTCTCTACATTCCCAGGTTTGCCACTCCCCGACTTTTGCTGAAGCAGGTTTCTACTCCATCAGTCCCACATATGTGTTCACAGGGCCAGCACTGAGTGTGGTGCTGGGGAAGGCATGTGTTTGGAGGCAGCCCTGTGAGATGGCACAGCCTAAGGGAGAAGCCGTGGTGGGGAAGACCCTGGCCACGCATGATAGAGGAAGTGTGGCCACACAGTCTTTGCTGTCCCAGCCACAGCGTGGTGGTGTAAGTCTCCTCCTTCTCAGTCTGTGCAGACTTATGTGACCCATTTGACCCAACAGAAACACAGCATATGTGGTGTGTGAAAGTTCCAGACCAGGCCACAGAGAGCTCCGTGGCTTCGGCTGCATCTCCTGCAGCACCTGCTCTCAGGACCCCCTCTCTCAGAGCCCAGGCACCATGCTGTGAGAGAATCCCAGCCACACAGACAGGCTAGGTGTAGGCGCTTTCATCAAAGTGCCACTTGTGCCTCCCCCCAGCAGTGTCAGGCCACCAGCTTGGACAGACAGCTCCAGCCTCCAGTGGAGGCTTCAGAGGACAGCATCAAATCGCATCCACAAAGGAGACCCAGACTGAAAAGCGCCTAGCCAAGCACTGCCCAAATCCCTGGCCAAGCACTGCCCAAATCCCAAATCCCTTTGCAATTGTGAGCAAAGCAATTCAATTTGGAGTGGTTTTATGCTGCAGTAGCTGCCCCAAGCACTATGGAAGTGAATATCAGGAGCCCCTCACTGGGATGTCAGGAGAAGACATTCAAGGAAGGCATCCTGGAAGAATTAGTGCCTCAGGTGGTACAGGAGAAGGCGAGATGGAGAGAAAGCAGCCCCAGTCTGAAGACGTGCGAGCATAGGTTCTGAGGGTGAAAGGTCTCTGGTATCCGGGGCCAGAGTGTTAGACTCTGGAACATAAGACGCCCCCCAGGTGGTGGAGAAGGACTAGCCAAGCTCCAGGCTGGCTTCTCAGAGGTGATGTTTTTGGTTTGAAATCCATACGATGCTTTTTGGTTTGAAATCCTACAACTTCAGGGCAAGCTGGAACAATGCTTCTCAAACTTTAATAAGCACCCAAATCATCAGGGGCGTGGGGGCAGTGGGTCGCTCACCACAGTGAAGATTCTGCATCAGGAGGTCTGGGGTGGAGCCATGATTCTGTGTTTCTAGCAAGTTCCTGGGTGAGGCTGAAGCCATTAGACCATGGAGCACACTTTGAGTAGCGAGAATGTGGAGGAACTGACCCAGGATGGGCCGGGATTTACCTGAATTCTCACAGCGGCTTAGACAACAGAGATTTGTCCACAACTAAAGCATAAAAATAAAATCGAACCACACTCATTATTCCAGGAAACAGTGATAACATTGGAAATAAATCAAATGGCTAGTGACTGAGATTGTATTATCAGAGCTATATATTAACTTTTTTTCTTTCTTTCTTTCTTTTTTCCTTTTTTGAGACAGGGTCTCAGTCTGTCACCCAGGCTGGAGTTCAGTGGCATGGTCATGGCTCACTGCAGCCTCGAATTTTCGGGCTCGGGTGATCCTCCCACCTCAGCCTCCTGAGTAGCTGGGACTACAGGCATGCACCACCACACCTGGCTAATTTTTTGCACTTTTAGTAGAGATGAGGTCTTGCCGTGTTGCCCAAGCTGGTCTCAAACTCCTGGGCTCAAGTGATTCGCCCACCTCAGCCTTTCAAAGTGCTGGGATTATAGATGTGAGCTATAACCCCCACCCCACCCACCTGTATATTCATTTTCTGTAACTGTGGAACAAACAATAAATTTCTATTACTGCATAACAGACTTAATAGCTTAAAACAACACCCATTTATGGTCTCATAATTCTATAGGTCAGAAGTCCAGGCGGGTTTAATGAGGTTTTCTGCTTCGAGGCACACAAGGCCAGTGTCAAGGGCTCCTATCTGGAGGTTTGGGGGAAAAAAATCTACCTCCAAGCTCAATCTGGTTGTTAGGCAAATTCACTTCCTTGCAGTCCCCTGAAATCCTCATTTTCTTGCTGGCTGGCAGCCAGGGGCTGCTCTCAGTGACAGGGACCTCCCGGGGCCTCCTCCACCTCAAAGCCAGCAACAGAAAATCCACCCTGGTGTCAAACCTAACTCCAGCTCTGTTACCAGCCAGAGAAAACTCTGCTTTTAAAGAACTTAGCCGGGTGCGGTGGCTCACACCTGTAATCCCAGCACTTTGGGAGGCCGAGGTGGGCGGATCACCTGAGGTCAGGACTTTGAGACCAGCCCGGCCAACATGATGAAACCCAGTCTCTACTAAAAAATACAAAAATTAGCCAGGCACAGTGGCAGGCACCTGTAATCCCAACTACTTGGGAAGCTGAGGCAGGAGAATCGCTTGAACCGAAGAGGCAGAGGTTGCAGTGAGCCGAGATTGCCCCATAGCCCTCCAGCCTGGGTGACAGAGCGAGACTCTGTCTCAATAAATAAATAAATAAATAAAAAGAACTCATATTAGGCCCCGCCCCAGATAATCTTCCAATTTTTAGATCAGACAATTCGTGACCTTAATTATATCTGAAAGAGTCTTTTGCCATACAAGGTAACATAATCCTGTGAATAATGCCAGGGGGCCCGGTTCTGGTTCTGGGCCACCTTAGATTTCTGCCCTCCATAAGCCGGAAACGGGTGCCTTAGGCAAAAACTGCCCGATAAGAATGCAACAACCGTTAAACAACTAAAGTGGGTGATCTTCAATGACATAATCAGAAAAGAACCTGAGATCAATTTCTCACTCAACAGGATTTATGGAGAGAGGCCAACAAAAAGTAAGGCCTCAATTTAGCAAACTGAACTAAAAGCCAAGTTTAATTTGCATTCTTTAGAATGCCTAGGGTTAGCCGGGAGTCTCTCCCATTAGAATGCCTGAGGTCACCCAGGTGTCCCTATCATTAGACTGCCCGGGGTCGGCCGGGAGATTCCTAGAACACACTGGGTCATGCAAAACAACAAGAAACAAACAACCTTTAGAAACAATATTTTGTGTTCCCTGAAAACACTTCATCTCAGCAGCAACTTCAATAAATTATTTAGTATTTTGCACCTCCAAGGCAAAATTTCATAAACAGGTAATGTTTCTTAGAAAACAAACTGTTTATATTTAGCATTATTTTCTTTCTCTCATGCCAGTTTCCTGGAGGGAAAAGTTTACCTGCAAAGCTAGAAGGAGCTTAATGCCAATATTCCCTGATGCACCCAGTGAGAACATGAACAGAGATGGATTTCCTCTCCTTCCCTTATTAATTGATTTGTGCCATTTGGAGCAAATTTGATGCATAAAACTCTAATTCAAATGAAAATGAGTTTTTACTTTACCAAATGAGTAAATCTTTTTGGCCGGGCGCGGTGGCTCACGCCTGTAATCCCAACACTTTGAGAGGCCGAGGCGGGTGGATCACGAGGTCAGGAGACTGAGACCATCCTGGCTAACACAGTGAAACCC